CAGCCTGGGATAAAGGGCCAAATTATTAAAGCTAATGGTTAGCTGCTCTGGGCATTTTGTGGGCGGATTGGTATAACAGACTCAGCAGAAGCAGAAATTTGTGCCTTGCTCGTGGGTTTGAGAGCTGCAGCTAATATGAATTTAACAGATCTGGTGCTGGAAGGAGATTCTAAAATGGTTATCAGCTGAGTGGAGGATTTAAAAGTTGGTCCTCAGAGATTCAACTTCTTCTTTAATGAAAACAGAGACCTTTTGTCATCGGTTTTTTGTCATTTTAGATGGATTCCTAGAGAGATGAATAGAGTGGCTGATTCTCTTGCCAAATCTGGGGTGGGGAGGGATTTTTTGCATAGTGGCTCGATGCCTTTGTAAATCCTTGGCGTTTTCATTTTTTGGGTTGTAGTCTCGTTTTGGCTTTTTGCTTTGTACATCTCCTCATATACATCCACTGTTTTTAATATTCAAGCATGCAAAAAAAAAAAAAAAAAACAGAGGAAGTATGTGAAAAAGTTTAAGGTGTTGTTGGAAATTGGAAAGCAAAGAAGGGACAAAGAATCAGAAGGAGATGGAATTGTATGAACCAATGCCAAGGCCAATTTGAGGGACTTCTATTTTGATGATCAACCGGAAGTAGAAGATCCCAAAGGCAATGCTCTAGAAATCATAACCATATTGTAAATCATAAAGGGGTTTGAATCGATCATATCGTAAATTGTAAGGTTTTTTCCAATTTTCTAAAAAGTTGTTAAAAACTCTAAAAAATACCTAAACCTCTCAAAAAATAGAAAAGACGAATTTGCACAAACTTCCTAACACATAAACATCATATAACTATATAAACAAGTAGTAGTGACAGATTGATAGTTACGCTAGTGTCAACTCCAATTTCATTCATTTTTTTCAGCAATAAAAAGCAATATCTTTAATTGTCTTGATATGAATATGAACTTTACATGACAATGACAATAGACCCAAGACTTGGTCAACAAAAAGGATGATTGAGGCAAACCAATATATTATTTTGGTCCCTTATACAAAATATACAAAAAAGTGCTCCACTATGCACAAATATACATGTAGCCTTGTAAATATTCTTTATAAGTTCATAAGTCATAACTAAAAAACTAAGAACTAAAAAGCCTTATCCATCAAAATATATCAATCATTAGCATCGCCATCTCTATCATCATTCTCATCATCATCACTATTCTCATCAACAAGTTGAATCTTGTCTTCATCTTCTTCATCAGATAAAGAAATAAATTCTTCTTCATCTTGAAGTTGGACTATCCCTTTTCTTCTCTTATTGTGTAAATAGATCCCTAGGACCTAACCTAAGGTAGAGCAAGCTATGAACATTTGAACAAAATAATAAAGTTGTAAATTATAATAATAACAAAACAAAACCTACCACGTTTCCTTCGTTTATCTACAACTCCTTCAACTTCAAAAAAACACTTTCCCATATCCATCCATGCGGTATCATCAAGAATGGCAGGATCTTCCATTTTTTTATAGGAAATGGTAACTTTCATTAAATAGAACACCAGAAATTACAAACTGTCACCTACAGAAGGGCAAGGTGACCCCTGAAACAAAAAGCAAGTTACAACACAGCCAAAAACAAAGTATCTCTATTCACACCTTGCTTTGCTAGTAAACCAGCTAAAGCATTTGCTGACTAGTCCAATTAACAACTACACCCAGATCCCTTGTAAGACTCAATAATTCTCTTACATTTCGTCTTAGGTACCAAGTTCCCAGACTATTTGTTTGCACCCTACTACTAACTTGTCTCCCTCCACTTCTAACTGTTGCATACCCAAATGCTTAGCCAATCTGAGCCCCTGAAGGAGGGCCAACACTTCTGCTCTAAGTGAGTCCCCCATACCTATTGGACTGGAGGGGCTCTAAGTGAGCCCCATACCAGGGTTCCCCACAGAGCTGCCATCAAAGTTTAATTTCACAGCCTGCTGTAAAGGAGGGGATCTTCCTTTTTAGTTATCCATTCATCATCTAACTCCATGTCTGATAGACAAATTGGATCAGCTCTTGCTTAGCTTTTCTCTTCTCATGGCAAATCCCAAGTTGGCAATTGATGCAGCTCTAACTCATCCTACTTTGGTACCAATTGATGCAGCTCAAATATGAAGAGAGAAAAGAAATAAGAAGAAGAGAATTGGATGGAACTTCATTAATCAAAGATGGCTTACAATATGAGGCAACAAAGTTAAAGACTTACTCACCCAATGAGAGGACTCTCTCAACTCTCAAAGAAAGCTCTAGGCTTTTCAAAACAAGGGAAAGAACTTGATGCCTCTAGTTTGAGATTACAAGGCTTTATATATAGAGAATAAAACTAGTTGTTGGTACATTAAATGAAAAACTAGCTGTTGGAACATTAAATGAGAAACTAGTTGTTGGAGTATTAAATACAAAACTATCTGTTAGAGCATTGAATGAGAAAGTAGTCGTTACAAGTTGCTGGAGCTTTTAATGAACTAATTGTTAAAAGTCCACTAACAACTAGCTATATGATTCTATGTTTCTTGGAGCATGATTGTGGACTGCATCAGTCCAACTTCAAGATGAAGAAGATGAAGACAACATTTAGCTTGTTGATGAGAATAGTGATGATGATAATGATTGATATATTTTAGGGATGCAAACAAATCGGATTGGATTTAAATCAATGTATACCCTAATCTAATCCGATACTATAAACCATAGATTCGATTGGATCTCACAAACATTGATTCGAATTCGAATCTGACAAGGGTGTCAGATATCCGAATCTAATCCGATCCAATTTAATTTTTAAACAATTTAATAAATTATTAAAAGGACACCATTGTCAGATTCGAATTTGAAAAGGGTGTCATATATATATCAGATCAGATCAGATCCTTTTGGATCAGATAGAGGGTGGTCCAAATTCGATCCGATTTTTAGTCGGGTCCTATTATCCAATTCGGAAGTCCGAAATGGGGATATCCGAATCTGACAAAATAGGATCAAGCTTCGGATCGAATCATGATCCAATCCATTTACACCCCATTCTTAGTTTTTTAGTTATGACTTATGAACTTATAAAGAATATTTATAGGGCTACATGTATATTTGTGTATAGTGGGGTACTTTTTTGTATATTTTGTATAAGGGACTTAAATAGTATATTGGGTTGGCCAAATCATCCTTTTTGTTGACTAAAGTCTTGGGCCTATTGTCATTGTCATGTAAAGTTCATACTCATATCAAGACAATTAAAGATATTGCTTTTATTGCTGAAAAAAAGAATGAAATTGGAGTGGACACTAGTTTGTCACTACTACTACCTGTTTATATAGTTATATGATGTTTATGGGTTAGAAAGTTCGTACAATGTCATTGTTTTCTATTTTTTGAGAGGTTTAGGTATATTTTAGAGTTGTAAAAATCAGAAAAAAAAATTATGATTATGATTTTCAGAACATTGATTGCTAAAAAAAAACTATTACTATAATTTAATAGCAACAATAGCAGCAACAACAAGAGCAATAATCAAATCTCCATAATTGTGCTCTTGCCTTGCAGATCTCCTTGGTTGTCTCAAGCCCCTTTAAACCCCAAAAATGTCTACTATCAGCATAAGCTACAACTTAAGTGCCCCGGTTTCCTTTTATTGTGCAAGAAACCAAGAAAAAAAAACAAAATAAAAAAGAAAACACATGATTTGACATGGTTTGACTATTTGTGCTTATGTCCACAAGTGAACCCCTATGAAATTCCACTATTCCCAATGCAACAATTACAACTTTAGTGCAGAAGCTAGTCTCAATAAACATCTATTCATCCCCTTGACACATTAAATGGACTAAGCAAAAAGGACCAAATGGTTATAGGCTCAATTGGCAGGTACATGTCCACTATCAAGCTCCTTCTATAAGGAGAGCAACACTAACCTGAGAAGATTCTATTATGCTCAAAGGCTAAATGTATCATCTTCCGTCCCAGCTGACTTTATTGCCTAAGTCACCCAGATCCAGAAAGGACACAATTGTAAAAGATGTAGGATATGACCTTATTCCTGATAAAGAAAAGTGCATCTATTAGGGCTGCAACTTGGGCTGGGTTTGCCCGAACCCATCCTGAAACGTAGGGTTGGGTTGGGTTGAAGTTCAGGTTAAGGTTAAAGTTGAAAAGTATGAACCCGACTTGACTTCATATTTGCATGTATAAATATCATATAAATATGTATTTATGCATGTAAATAATTATGTATATGTGTGTATTCACCATTCATGCATGTATTTATATGCAACTATGCATCCATAAATGTATGTATTTATATATTTGTATTTTTCACTGCAAGTATTTATATATTTATGTGCATATATATTTATATATCTATATATGTGTGCATATATATTGTATGTTAAAAATTTTAAGTTTAAAGGCAAGTCTTTTTCTGAAACATGTTAACTGTGTTCTTTTACAAATAAAAATGCTAATATAGAATTAACATAAGCCCTTAGAGTCTAAGAAATAAGTACATTTGGCAAAAGGAAATAGAAAAGTTAGCCAATCTGAGACTAACCCGAACCCAACCCGAAGTTTTAGGGTTGCGTTAGGGTTGACCTCAACCCGACCTAATCCAGCCCGACTTGCACCCCTAGCATCTATATAGAGCACTTAGTTCAACTGTCCAATGCAGTTAATGTGATTGCTTCCTGAAGATATCCACAGTTGAATCACTGGGGCAATCACTGAGTAGCAAATTGAAGTCAGTAAGGATCTTCAGTAGTAAATTGATTGCCTATGTAGTGTAGTAGTGCTATGGCTACACTGGCATTCAGAAAATGCTAAAAACTACGTTTTTCTCGCACATGCTTAAACATAAAAAAGGAATTTGTGTGTGTGTGTTTATCTAGTTGCATACATAAGAACAAAAAGAAGTTTTGAGCATGATATTCAGATTTTTCCATATGTATAACAAGGAGCTAATTTGAGTCCGCAGGTACCTGACATCACCGGGGTAGTCTGCAGTTCGGTAAGGAGGGGCACAGAAAATAACAAATGGAAACTGCTGAGGTGATCGCGTTCCTCTTAAAGATGGATTTATCCCAATTTTAACCAATTCATCATGGTGATTTGTAGTCATCGTCTGTCCAAAAATTTGGCAGCCTGGATATTCCTGTTACAAGATCAAGGAACAGTATATAGTTTAAGCACCTTTTCATGGAGTAAATATATCGAAACAAGGGGTTGGGGCAGGGGAGGAAGCAAAATATATGTGCAACTAAAAACTTGGAATTTGGAATCCTGCAGTTTCGATGATCCATCAAGTAAGATAAAGCAAATTTATGTTTTGAAATTGTTCTCCACAAATACCTTCCTCCACTGTTCTGCTACCATGCGCCCAAGTACTCCTGGTCCAATAATCAGCAAATCATTCTCCCCTACCAAACTAGGAGATGAAACCTCCAAATCCAATCTTTCATTTGGTGCACCTGCATCAATCAATAACTTTAAGCATTTATTTATTTACTTATTTAGAGTAATTCAATCACGCAGGCACCTAAGATTCCAACGAACGACCGCAACAAATGGAACTGAAGTGCATTGTGCATACACCACACAATTGATTCAAATCAAAAGATAATTGTAAGCTAGCAATCAACGGAAATGACAATAACAATCCATCACGACAGAATGCCGTAACAAATTTCTCCAAGTATTGACACAAATAAAGAGCGAAAAAAGAGAAATTAGCGTTAATAAACAAGAGATCGAAAGTAAATACTGACCAACCGTGGAGCATGCATGAACCTGCAACTGCAAGGGGGACGCCATTGAAGATCTACGCTTCGCACTGAAATTAGGTTTACGGAAGAGTGGAATTAAGGTTCTGGAGGAGGGTAAGAAGCGTCCTGACCAAGGAACTACAGTATTGCCACTACTACTACAGTAGGCAACGCCAATGGCTGCCATGGAAGCAAGAAAAACGAAACGCAGAAGATGAAAGGATAAACCGCAAGCGTTGAGGCTTGATTCGTGCTTACGAGTTTCGAGTTTCGAGTTTTGACATTGGTTTTCTAACCGGGGGGGTCGCGCCAAGACGTCAACGTGAAAGGACAAGTGGACAACCGGTAGTGACTTTGCGATCACCGGTCCGTGCCTTACACGTGTCTGTGGGTACCACCTTAGATGTTTTCTCAGTCGTCTGATCGGATCAGATGGCCTGTCCAGATTACCTTATCCAGTTGACTGGCTGGGCTGAGCTTGAAACGGGAAGACGGTCCGGATAGCCGATCTCAGATCAGTTGTCGTATAGTCCAGGTTCCCGTTAATCTTAACCATTTGATAGCTACTGAAATGGCTGAAATACTCAACTGAATGACTTAATACTTTGTCTTTCGGTGAATAGTGAGGATGAGAGGGTTCGGTTGGCGTCCCACAACAATGGCAACGGGGCGGCGATCATATTCATCGTTCCTGACGCCGATTTTGGAATAAATTTCCGTCCCCTGCTTCAATCTCCATTGAGGGTAAAAGTTGTTTTCCATCCGTGATCACTGATATAAACGGGTTTTTCGTGGGATTCAAAATTTTGAAAAATTTTCAACTAATAGTATTTTTAAAAATAAATTTATTTAAAATAAATAAATATTTTAAATGTATATATATATAATAATATATAATCAGGAGTGGGGCATCATTTCCCATCATAAGGTTAGGGAAATCAAGTACACCCCATCCCTACCCAAAGGCGCCCCACATGCACATCTCAACTTGCATTGGAAACATCTCCCATACTCATCAGGGGGAGATGTTCTTACTTCTTAATATATATTTGATAGGGTTGTTGGGGGCTTATGGGGTGTGTTATATAGGTAGACCTGTTCATGGGCCGGGTAGCTCGATGGCCCGGCCCGCACCCCGGCTGGGCTTGGTCATATAATTAGGCCCGCGGGCTTGACCTCGGGCTTAACACAGTAAGCCCGACTGTGTTTCGGGCCGGGCTCGGGATTTGTCAAAAAAGCCCGGCCCGAGCCCGGCCCGGCCCAACTTAGTATTATATATTTTATAAAATATATAATATGTATTTTATATATTATATAAAATATATAAATAATA